CTCAGACAAGGAGCCAAGGGGTCAGAGCGGGAAGGGAGTGAGGGTCTCCCACGCGCACCCTGTGCCCCAGAGGAGGACACGGGCCGGCAGAGGACACCCCGGCCACAGGCCTGAGGGTCAGCCCTGGCTTAGGTCCCGGGCTCCTGACCCCCAGGCCTGCGCTCCATCGAGGTGGCATTCATGGCCCAAGGGTGTCCTCCCTCCCGCCCACCGGCCGGGTGTGCCCTGCTCACCACTCTGTCCCTGGGGGCCGGGTGCAGGCCGTGGCAGGCCCTCCGTGAGTGGGCACTGAATGAAGCTACAATGGTGGGGGAGGGGGTGACTTTCAAGACCTCACCCGTGGCTGCGGTTCCGCGAGCTGTGAAGAGAGCTGCGCGGAGAAGGGTGGGGGCAGAGAGAAGCGGGGCAGGCGGGCGTGGGCTGCGGAGCCTGCATCCGCAGAGCAGAGGGAAGAGGAGGGACCAGCCACTCGCCGGCCAGAGGCTGCTCGGTGCCTCCAGGTGTGCGGCCGCCCACCCGGGACATCCACTCGCCGGCCAGAGGCTGCTCGGTGCCTCCAAGACTCTGGCAGCTAACCCTGCACTCAACGGAGTTCCCCCTAAGGGAGCCATGAGCTCCGATGTAGCTTTTTCCCCCTTTTTTGGGCAAATCCTAAGGGAGCCATGAGCTCCTACGAATAGCTGTGGTGGCTGAACGGAGGCTGTGGGCCGAGCTACACTCAGGGCCTCGGGCGCAGGCCTCTGTTCCGGGAACCAGCTGTAAGACCAGTGCGGTCAGCACACCTTCCCAGCCGCGGACAGAGGTCCTGGGAGTTAGATGCTTGTCCAGCCCTCACGGCCGGCGAGCCCAGGGGCACGGCCCCAGCGGAACAGCCGGCTGCAGGGTCTCCGTCCTGTTCATTGTCCTTGGTGGCGGCAGTGTTCCTGCTGTTGCCTTCTGGGAGTTTCAATGTGGGAAGCCTCATACAGACCCAAAGCAGGGGACAGTGTGAGGCCTGCCATGCACCCCCCCCCCCAGGCTGTGACAGCTACTGACACACGGCCAGCGTGCTCATCCCTATCCCCATACTCCCCCACTTCCCGCACCAGGGGTTTCTGGAGCGAATCTCACACGTGATATAGTTTCATCGATAGTTAGTGGAAGCTAAGGACGACACCTCATTCTCCGTCGCTACAGTCTGTGCCATCCTGACCGGGTGCTGCTCAGGCAGACACTCCCGCTGTGCACCTGGACTTCAGGCGAACGCCGCCTGGGCAGCTGGACCACGGCCTCGGGCAGAGAGGCAGGCACCTCCCTTTCCCACTGCTCCCCTCACAGCCGGGCACAGCGCCCCCTGGGCCTCCTCAGCGGGTCTCGCTGCAGCGGAAGCCTCTGCGGTCAGCCCGGCTCCTCTGGCGATGGGGACAACCAGCTGTGGTGCCTTCCGCCTGGAGGGGTGGCTGCCACCACATAACAAGTCTTCCTCCACCAGCCGGGACCCAGACCCCAGCCCTGGCCATGCCTTAGTCCTCTGCCTAGGAGGGAATGACCTCCACGCCACCCCATCTCAGACAAGAGGGATGGAGCAGATGGAGCGGAAGCACCTGGAGTCAGAGAGCCCCTGTCCCTCTCCGAACTGGAAGGTCATGCCTCACTTTCTTCATCTGTGAAATGGGAGCATAGCACCGACCTTGCAGCTGTGAATATCCAGAGACTGAGGGCAGTTTTCTGTGTTGTTTGGCTGAAGGAGCTGCAGTACCGGCTATGGACAGCAGGTGTCGCCCCAAGACTAGCCCTGGAAACCTTGGGGGCCAAGGTGGAGGCCGCGCACTGAGAGAAGGCTCTTCCCTTTCGGATCCCCTTGGACTGGGGCGGAAGGGAAGTCCAGCCCGTGGGGTTGCTCCGTAGGGAAGTCAGCCTCGGGTCTGGCTCCGTCCACAGCATGTGCACATGACGCCCACAGGGAGGCCGGAGAGGAGATCGGCTGCGAGAAACCAGGGCTGCGCTGAAGGTCGAGCTAAGGAACCCACCATCACACCTTCTGCGCCCACATTCCGGGTGCTCTGCTGAGACAGGCTCGCAGGCCAGCCCTCTAGGAGGAGCCGAGCTGCGGCCCCTGCCCCTTTGGGAAACTGCAAAGGGCGCAGGTCTCCCACGGCTCTGCCTGGGACGGGCTGTCTTCTCAGAGAGTCTCCCGCTGGGCTCAGATTCCAGGCTCAGCCAGGGGCCCAGCTACACAAAATGCACCAGCTCGTGGGACAGGGAGACAGAGGCAGAGACCGGGGAGGGAGGCTCCCGGCCAGGGGTCGGGAATCCGTCCTACGTCTCCCGGGACTTGGATGTGAGCAGCCCAGCACGGGCCTCAGGGTCGGCCCCTGGGAAACGCTGGGCCCCGAGACCCGGGTCTGTGTTCTGTAGGACACAGCCATCTCCACTTCCTCTTGTTAAGACACCCGGCACAGGCATCGGGTTTCCCAATAGTCTGTGGAGGTTGTGCTGACCGAGGGCTGGGGAGCGTGCGGCCCAGGGACAGCCTTGGCGGACGTGCGTGCTCCATCGCTCCGTGAAACCCACATGT